TAATTGCATATTAATTTTAATATTAGTATTAGTATGTATTTTTCCGCGAAAAACACACAATAATGCGGTCACGGATGATAAGAATCCTTAGTATTAATAAAATATTTTGTTAGGGATTCTTTACGGGTACGGAATAATCTCCCTATTAATAAAAAATTAAAGACTAATAGTAAAAAAAATTTCAAAATGAGTCAGCAAATTTGTTTAAAAGGTCTATTTGGTCACACGCAAATAAAGTTTTCCTAGTTCTATAATAATAATAACTCTATATCACAAGCGACCATACCTAATTTGAATTATTATTATTATTATATAGTTCACATTAGTACTATTGAATCATAGTTGTTATTGTTAATCATGTGAAAAAAAATTAAAGTTCATATTTTGATTTGTGCTACCCATGTTATTACTAAATTTTATTGTGATTAACTAGTGTAAAATTATTATCGATTACTATATTTAATTTTCTTTTTTAACCAGGAAAGCAAGCAAAAAAATTACAGGTATTTATTTCAATGAATTATCTATATTAATTAATTGTCATTATAATAAAATTACGAAGCGGGTGGGAGTCGAACCCACAATCCCCAGATCCGAAGTCTGATGCCTTATCCATTAGGCCACCGCTCCATGCAATTTGGTAACATTTATTAAAATGTTTTATAATAACTTTTTTAAGAATAAATTTTTTTAAAATAAAAAAGTCAATTATTTCTTGGCTTGAATAAAAATTATTATTTTACATTTATCATTTTATATTATTATAATTTATATAATGATTTAATATTATTATATTTACATATACATATTATAAAAGGTTTATTATTACTAGAAAAAAATAAATTCTAAAATTATTACCAATTAATCCAACCAATGTAACCAGCTTTAGTTTTTTCATTTATTAAATTTTCAATGAAATTTTTTGCGTCAAGGTAACATGAATGTTGTTGAACATGAAGTGCCCTTTCTTTTAAACTACCATCATAATCTATACTACCATATCTAACATAAGTAATCATTTCTTCTTCTACTTTAAATTGCCAAAACTTTGTGGAATTTTCTAAATGTCCTGATGGTATTGAAGGCAGCGACGACGGCGACGACGGAAAGTTGGGAAATTGATCCGAATTATTTGAATTTGTGAATTTAACTTTTTTTTGATGATGAGGTTTTTGTGAAGAAAATCGTGGAGTAGTTGTTATTAATTCCGTTGACATTTTTTATTTTTTAAATTTAATTTTTTTATTTTTAAATTTGAAAATTTGTTTTTTTTTAAAAATTGGAGTAGCCATCTTCTTTATATATTAAATGTTTATAAACAAACAAACTAAAGTGTGATTTGTCAATTATTGTTTACGTTATAATGATGTAAATTAAATATAAAAAGATTAAAAAAAATACATTAAGAAAAGGTAAAGAGCTACAAAGTACATATCAATAAATAAGTAATACACCATATTAATATCTATCTATTTCCCTTTGGTTTTTTTATTTATTATTTTTTTATTCGATAATTATTTAATACTTTCCATTTTTATCTTTATTTGAGATCATTTGATGAAAGAAGTAAATTTTTTTTTCGGAAAAAAAAAATTTAATATTCAACAAAATAATGTTTACATGACCAATAATAATAATATGATTAGTAATTTTTCCATTATAAAAAACATTTTTATTTTTTTCCCTTATTCATTCTCGAAATGGAACTCTGAATTTTTAAAACAAATATTTATTATTGCTGCATATTTGTTTAATGATAACGGGTTTATAAGATTATATAACAGATTATAATTATATGGCTTTTATAAGTACATAATCTAAAAAAACCGTTTATCAAAACCTAGTAATAAATGAAAATGATCCCAATGATTGGATCATTTTCAAAACATATACAATTTACACAAAGAAAAAATAGTTTATATCTAGAGTATTACACAATTCAAAAACATATTTTAAGATATTTTCTTTTTTTTAAAGATCGAAAATGTGATTTTAAACCATGATCGGATAGATGAATGAATAAAAGTAAATTTGGATTCCTATCTAGTACTGCCCACGTTTACTACCTACAGTATCTACCCTAGTAGCTGTTAGCTAGCTAGCTAGCCAGCCACTAATTTTAGCTATTACCACATAAATCTTTGCAAATTTCGTGGATCATGCTTCCAAATAAAAGGTTTAAATATAAAATTATTTAAGGTTACTATATTAATAATAGCATATAATAATAATTCTAATGCTAATCTATAAAGTAATGACGGTTGATTCATGTTCATCACATTAATTCTATAAATCAAATAAGGAACTATAAAATATCTAAATTCTAGTAACGGGGAAGGAATTAACAATAAACAAACTGCCGTCGAATAAATCAGAATCCATATAAAAGTTTGCCGTTTTGCTAACTCTTCCCATAAGATCCATCCGTTAATTAAATAAATTGGGATTAATAGGTATTTGATTAATGCATGTTGACGATAAATATTCTTCCATATGTAAAATGTATAATGACGATTGTCACTTAGTAAAAATGGATGTTCATACCTATTGTTTGTGTGGCACGTGTACGTGGAAATAATCAGGTTGTGGTTATAGAAGATCAATAAAAAATCAAAAGCCTTTTTATTATTTCATAATTTTTTTGAAATTTTCATATTTATTCACCAAATCATAAAGTTCATTATTACCATTACCATACAAAGTTGATGGGTGACGAGATAAAGTGTGATACAATCGAATATATATCGAGTCTATATTAAAAATCATTACATATAACAACAATAATTCTAATGCTACTCTATAAAATAACGACGGTTGATTCACGTTCATCATATTAAATCTATAAATCAAATAAGGAACTATAAAATATCTAAATTCTAGTAACGGGGAAGGAATTAACAATAAACAAACTGCCGTCGAATAAATCAGAATCCATATAAAAGTTTGCCGTTTTGCTAACTCTTCCCATAAGATCCATCCGTTAATTAAATAAATTGGGATTAATAGGTATTTGATTAATGCATGTTGACGATAAATATTCTTCCATATGTAAAATGTATAATGACGATTGTCACTTAGTAAAAATGGATGTTCATACCTATTGTTTGTGTGGCACGTGTACGTGGAAATAATCATGTATTAAAGTAAATTTCAGGAAAAAATTTAAACACCATACATAATATTATAATGACTTACGTAAATTCGCTAATTAGATAAGCAATTAAAAGCATTATTGGAATAAACTTGATGGTAATCCTAAACATATATATATAATAAATATAGATTCATTATATCATGTATATAAAAATGTGACTATAAAAATAGTAAACTAACTAATATTTACCAAATAATTTTTTTACTAAAGATGATTTTAATGTGTCTAAATTTAAAAATTGCTGGTGACGATAGAAATGTTGTAAACGATATAAAATAAAATATTTGAGGAAAATGAAAAACTGGAACATGATTAGCTTTATCTCCTGAGATGGAAGATGAGATGAGTGTTGTTAGAACGAACGAATGATTGATCGATTTAGAAATCATAATAATCAAATAATCATATATATGTACAATCACATACCTAACACGATCCCACCATTAAATCTCAAAAATAATCCAAACCCAATTAAAATTAAAAAATAAGGAAAAAATATTATTAAAATATTTAATAGATTCAATACAATCAAACTAGCAAATGTTATTATTTCTGTTATTGCTTGGCCTATATAAATAAATAAAATAAAAGGGCATGATGAGTGCAAGTACAAAAATTGGATAATACAAATTCATATTTTTTAAATATTTATTTATTATACCCAGAGTTATATCTTTTCCCAATGAAAATAATTTCTGATTCCTATTGTTTCTATTATTACTACTTCTAGTTGATAAATATTTTAATATAGAGGTTCCTAGAATAAAACATGTCCAAATAATGTTTGTTTGTCTAAATAAAATACTAATAAAACAACTCTATCATTATTAACATAAATTTTATATATATATATTTAGTAAACAACAATTTAAAAAAACTTGAAAATTATTATTTATTTATTTATTTACCATTGAACTGAGCCAATACTTCTTTTTAGTTGCTAACAGATAGCCAAATAATATAAAAAATACTGATCCAGCCTCAGTGTAATATAAAAAATTATGAAAATAATTAATTGGAAATATTGTCAGTATAAAAGTGTTTAATACTAACAATAATCTACTGCTATTGTTGCGGTCGTTGTTTTTGATGCTTAACATTTGATTAATTATTATAAAAGTTCCAATGCTAAATATCAAATTGGTCATTCTTAATAATTTAGTAGAACAATAAAAGTTTAGATTGTCATTGATAAATCTCATTGGTAATAAAATCAAATTGCTATAGACATATCTTTAGAAAAAAATCACGAAATAAAAAAATAAGAAAATTAAATCACAATCATATATAATAAATAATAAAATCGAACTCTTTTTTTTTAACTCACAATCCTGGTGGCGTCGTTATACTTGAATCCCATTTATCATACTTTCCTTTACAATATTCTTGAGCTTGTGGTATATGATAAATTTCATCCTAATAGATAAATAACTAAATAAATCAACCATATTACTACTATTATTAATGTTACTCGTTCAATTAGAAAATATTCACCATGTATGGTTCAGAAATCATTTCATTAACAAGATTTGAAATGAGTACTATTATAATAATATGTAAAATCAAAATAATATATTTCAACATTTTAAAAAAAAATTTTTTAAAAAGAAAATTTTGATTAAATCGGAGCAATATTCTGCCTTTTTTATTTCTTGATGAATCACATAACAAATATGGTGGGGTGCAAGTTAAAAAAAACTTTAATTGAAAATTTTATTAAATTAATTTACGATAATTTATATTAATTAATAACTTTATATCTTCCAAAGTATTTTATTAATCATAAAAAATTATGGCGATCTATTAATATAAAAAATTAAATAAACAGATTGTTTTTATACTTTATTTAAAAAGCAGCCATCACTCTCATATCTTCAATCTTTTTTTGAATTTCTGCAGGTGTACGATCCAATTCATCAGCTAAAAATCTTTTTTTCTCCATTGGCAATAAATTAAATTGTTCACACAAATCACCATCAACGATATTTTTAACAGGAGCATAGAAACTTCGATATTGAAGATGATCACGTCCTGCTAATGGTGGCGCCTCATTTCTCATATGCATCTCAAGAGTTTGGAAGAAATCAATATCTTCTCGTGTTAGAAATGGAACAAATACTCCCACATTACCCATTATACCTGTGTATACAAGGACTTCACGACCACCTGCTACCAAATTGGTTCTATGAATAGATGTGATAATATCACCAACATGATAATGAGCTATCATAGTAACCTTTCAAGAAAAGAATAACAATATACACAATATTTGAATCAATTAATTAATAAATATCTTTTTTAATAATTACAATTATAATAAATTAAAAAAGTTTCGTGATGATGATAATTACTTTATGAGGCGCACCCATAAGATATCCTTTTTCATACATAATCTTATTACCAGTAGGATCTTCATCCACCTCTTCACTAGTCTCGGCTGGTAATCTATCAATAAAGAAATTTCCGAATTTATCACCACCAGCAATTGTATCGTAATCTAACATTGTTGTGGTAGTGATCCAACGTGGTGTAGTATCATCAGCAAAAATAATAATTCGATTATCGTGTTGTCTATATGATGCATAATGAATTGATTCTTGAACATCACAAATAATAATTCTATTGCCCTGCGTATGCAAATTAACAATACAATTTGAAATTGCCTGATTTCCCCCAAAAAAAATTATCAAGAAACAGAATACTTGATTATTATCATCCCGCAAAGAATTAAAACGAGATATATTATAATAATGATAATTGTTACCTTTGATTCACATTTTCGTAAGAGTTTCCTTTTACCTAAATCATAAATTCTAAGTGCTTTCCCAACACCAGCTAAAAGTCTTCCTTGAAATCCTAATAATGCTAAAGGAATATCATCACATATTGTCTATAAAAGAAAAATTTAGTTAATTAAGCATAAAGATTTCCTTTGGAAATTTGAATTAAAAAACTTTTTTCCATAAATTTTTAAAGTTTACTTTGTGAATTAATTTTAACGAGTTTCCATTATCTACAAATTGATAAACATAAAGAAAACCAGAAGAACAAGTTCTTGGTGCTAAATTTGCATCTTTGGCAGCACCAACCACAAGGAATACCTCGCTATGACCATGGAAATTTACTGTTGCAACACTAAATGATGTTAAATGACATTGGTAAATTTTTTAAATGTCAAACACTTAATTTTATATAATAAAGAAATGTAATATATATATATACATTTGTACGCAATATTAAAATACACACCTAAAAGCTGCCTCGTTATCTTCAAGTTCAATCACTGACATAGTTTCGCTCTGAAATGGATTCACAACACGAATACAAGACGCCCATTTACCAGCTTCAGCTTTAGGTAATCCTAAAATTTCTTGTGGCAAATCAAAGATACTTTCGTTTACTTCTGTACCAGCATTGATTTTTGATTCTATTAACTTTTTTCTTTCGGTAGGCGAGTAAGTATTGTGCTCGCTTTCAATTATTACAAAGTTTCTTGAATTTTGATGAAGAACAAAATGACGTGGCGTGTATTTGAGCGGTATAGCTACTTGATTGAACACAGTGCCCAATTTCTCTACAGCAAATATCCTTAATGTGTTGGCTGATATAGCAACTATACCTTCAGGTACTTGCGGTGAAGTAAAATTTGAACCGTATTCAAGCATGTCATAAGAAAGCGGTGTTAGATGTAGTCTGGATTGAAAAGTATAGCTTAACCAAGGTCGACTCGATAAAGCAAGTACAGCTGGAGCTCCCTGTATTGTAACTTGAAACAATTTGACAGGACGTGCTCCGAGAAATCTATATTGTAACAATATAATTTTATAAATATCAATATTTATTTAATATCATGAATTTATATGAATGTGTGTAAATAAATTTAATCTTATACCTTTGTCTTGTATCCGTTAAAGCTCCAGTTATAGTATCCAAAACTGTTCTTAACAAAACACCATTTTGTAAACCTATATTTAAATATAGAGTTCCATGAGAAGCGTCCGTTCCAATATCCATCATTTCAATAATGACTAATGATTGTGGTAAGGCACTAATAGCCTATAAAAAATAAAATATAGGCCATGATTAAAATGAAAACTTATATATTAACAAATATTATTATTATATATTATTATTATATATTATATATAAACATACTTGTGTGCTAAGTATTTCTAAAGTATTGTCTGGATCGAGTGAAAGAATTCTTACAGCATTGTCATCACAACCTACAGCCTTTAATTTTTGATCAAAAACAACAATAAATTAATTAATTCAAAAAATAAACACCTTGAAATAAAATAAATTGTACATCATACCAAAAATCTTGAACGTTGTCTTCCTTCAGGAACCTCACCAATACTTAAACATAACACATTTGCTGACATTTCCTTACGTTCCTGATATTCATTCAGTTGTCCTTGACTATCCAATTCAAAATAAACCAATTCACCACCAGTCAAGGCTATAACGACTTGTCGTTTATTGGTAGCTGCTTTGACGATTGTTTTATTACCAGGAGTTTTCCATTCATTAACACGACGATCAACTCTAATATGTCTTATTCCTTGAGGATATATCTTATATAAGAAGCGTGAATTCAATATGAATAGATTAATTTGGCTGTATAAGCAAAAAATTATTCATAAAATAAATAGATGTATACCTGAAGTAATGCATCATTACCAAGTTGGTGGACATCTAAAGTAGGTGTTGATGCAAGAAATCCTGTATCTGTAACTTCTTCCACAGTCTCGCCAATAGATAATACCAATGTAGCATTCACAAATGAAACTATTATATAAGCATCAAATTCATCTATAACAATAAATAGAACAAAGGTATTTAAAAACACATTAATATAACCAACACCAACAATCATCCAATAAATAATTATAGGCAAACCTTCTGCTCTAAGTTTGGTGGTCCATACAGCATTAGGATTTCCTGGTAATTCTGAAACAGCCATTTCAGATACTTCTAAGCCATTTCTCAAGATTCTAAAAGTTGAACCTGCTCCCCTGCCGCACAAAGAATATATTTGAGGAGTATCGTCATCCATAAGATTTAGAACCTAAATAACAACAATTATTAATTATCATAGTTTTTAACTTTAATTTTTATTAAAAAAAAATTTTATTACTTTAGCATCAATTAATGGATTTAAACTTTCTAATTCATCAGCCCTTTCTAAATTTTGTAATTCTCTAAGATTAAAATATGCTACTGGTGCTTCAGTATCAGTATCCATAAAATCTTTACTAGACCATTCTGGTTCATCATTATCATCACCAAGACTTGTAAAAGAGTATAGCCGACTATTCAAAAAAAAAAGTTTTAATGTTTTTCAAAAATTTTCGGACTTTTCAAAAAAATAAATAAAATGTTTAAACTTACGGATTTCCAAATTCAGTAGCTACAAACAAAAAACCAGCTCTAAGTATACATAATGATACCGCAACAGGTACAGTATCAAAATATTTTATTTTAATAGCTTTTACCTTATCGTCCTCGCAATCAAGAGTCACTTTATATATATCACCTTCTTCACTTTGTAACAAAAAGAAAAAGACACCTTTCATTTTATG